CTTATTTTTTTGGAAACCTTTTGTTCAGCAAAATCCCTTATTGGCTTTAGAAGGTGGATTGCTGCTAACACTCTCCTCTCCCTGCAATAGTAAAACTCACGGTATACGCGGATCCAACATGGAGACGGGACTTTCGGCAATCTCTGATAGTACAATTGCACGCTGTCTCCCTCGTTTCCCACCTTATATCCCGATATAGCTGCCACGCCCATTCGTCCATTCACTAAAGCCATACCCAAACTACCTTTGGTCCAAGGGCTACACGAGTTTTGCTCAGAGCTTCAGGACCACGAATCATTGGAAAACATGAGAAGGCCATGTTTGAACTTTTTCAAACCTCTTTCATCATCCGCTTCTACATTACGCTTTATTTGAATTACGCTAATTATGTACGCACTTATCGAGTAATCAAGAAAAAGGGCGGTGGAAGCTCGGAGTCTAGCAGACGCCTCATAAACCACAGTTTTTCGACATCTCTCAGCGTCTTTTCCGATTCTGGAAACCCTCTTGTTGGTACCATTACTGATTACTCTTCTCACTCGGTATTTTCCCTGCTTTCGGAAAGCCATCTTTCATAGATTACAAGATGACTTGGGATTTTTCATTTTCATGTCCGAATTTCCTCCATGGAAGATTTTCAAAGTTGGGCGACTCCCTTCTGGGACGCGCTACACATTCATAATACTTCGCACTTGGAGTCGCAGCGGCACTCTGTGGCAATTTGGCCTGCGCAATGACTCGTGGGAGTCAGTCAATGTTCGAACCGATGTTCCCATCTCCCCAATCACCTCTGACGCCAGGTAACTAAGCCATGTGGGAAAGAAGACTTAGGTGTTCCTGGTCGAGACCTGATCCCCAAACCGTACAATCGGTGAGCGGCGATATCCTCCACTACATCACCTGCACCCAATTCTGAGCCTACATCTTAGGAATTTCATCACTATTTCGTCTCATCTGCCCTGCTCTTCTAGATTTGAATAAGACTTCAATCGTAACTTTTCCAGTGGGTGGATTTCTCCAGGGATTTGCGCCAGCGATAGTTTGTCCCTGACACGGACTTCATGTCCGTTCGGCTCAGAAGTGGGTAATTCATAAGCTACAAACGTTTGGTCAAAAGCTTCCACAAGATGGGGGTTGGCAATAGCAACACTTGTCAAGTTGGGGGATTAATTTTCAGCGCGGCTTTCACTGAATCCAACCGAGCTCTTCCCTTCCTTGGGGCAGACTACTTCGTACTAGCCGCGTTTAGGACGGTAGAAGCGCTGACTTGCCTATTTGCTTTCCTCAAAAATCACTGCATAGGCCATGTCGCATTTATGAGCCATACGGATTCTAAATGAAAATGAAATGCGGAGCGCACACCAAAGGGATTTTCGTCATTGCTAAAAGCTTTATCCGTCGATTTCTTTGATTTCGCCCAAGGTCCAGTGGATAAGTTTGCCACTGGATAAAACTGCGTGGTGTCGCTATCGCCGCGCTACGAGCACTAACAGGGTACAGTGTCGTGACGTATGAAACGGCGGTGTCAGTACGACCCCCTCCGAAGGAGGGTCTGGTTACGATCCCCTTCCCCAGCACCTATATACCACTCTACTACAAGTTCCCAGCTTCCTACCATTTTTTTCCAAAATTTTTCAAAAATTGGCTACTTTTTTCCCCAATACTTTTCCGTCAGGGTAGCGAAGGGGACGTCGTCAGAAACCAACTACTATTTTCAACTAACCCCAATAACGACTAAATACGACCCCCCCCCCCACGTCGTCCCCCAGCGGCCAAGTACGATCCCCGCCCCATTTCACAACGATGCTGTACCCTGAGCGCTAAGACGCTGTAAATTAAATCCAGTGGAAATTTTTGATGAAAACCGAGTCTGTACGGATATTCCCAACAGTTGTATTCACAGAAACAAACAGAAAAAGCTAAATGGTCGAAAAAAACTGGTGAGAGATAGGATCTCGCAATTATTTCTTTCCTCAGGCTTGCACTTTCTTCATTGCGCTACAAGGACTTATAATATCCGTGGTTGTAATACTTGCAATTCTCGATTATTCAGTCCCGGTAACAATTACGCTTGCTACGGTTTCATCCTAGCGTATGTACTAAGTCTGGGAAACCTGAGGTTCCATGAGGGAAAGTGTTTGACAAGTCTACTGAGGGGCGGGCAACTTTTTCATGTACCATGTTTCTTTCCGTTACTGCGGGTTAATGAACTTTGACGGTGTGGAATAATGGAAATCGTGGGAATTAGTGTAAAAAGTAGTA